ACGCAGCTTTGACGACAAGGCCAAAGATCCCACTAATCAACGACCACGTCTTGTGGGGCGTCATCCAGCAGGAAATAGGCCGGGGCCCGACTAACCTAGACGATCTGTACCGACTGTACGAGCTGCCGGAGGAAGATGCTGCCCCTGAAAGACAAACTAAGAAAGGAAGAGTAGTAGAGGTCAGAGAAGAAGAACGAGGGCATAAAAGGAAAAGGAGGTGGTAGGTGGACAGTTGCTGAAGACGGGTTGTAATCCTCTCTGTTTGGGCTATGCAGGAAGTCACCAATCGACGATGGCGGCAAGACGTGTACGGACAACACGCCAGCCCCGGTACCCTGGCCCGCCCTGGAATAACGACAGGGAGTGTCCCTTCCGTCAAGCTTCGAAGTCCGGGGAATCGACGTAGAATGGCGGGTCGTGACCTTGGGAAGGGACAGCGCCTTCGTAATGGTGGATGTTTGTGGACCAGGATGCGGTTTAACCGAGGACCTGGGGATGACCTATACTCCGATTTGGAAGTAACCGGTACTTTGTACCTACCCGAAAGTGGATGGCACTCGCTGGGGGTAGGAATAACACAAGGTCACGAGCTAGCCCCGGTCTTCTGAGGGGCCGCCCGGGTGTTGACACGGATAGGTCAATCAATCAGGGGTAGGAGGAACGTGGGCTTACGGACTAGGGTGGAAGTGGGGAGCTGGCGGGAGTTTAATGCACCGACAATCCCGCTAAGATGTTAGGTCCCCCGATTGATGATAAACCTCATCTTTGGGAGCCTCCTGAGGGCACAGGATCTGGCAGACTCAGTAATAGTCTGGATAGATCGCTTCCCACCTCAAGCCATCAGGATGTTTTATGACATCTCCATGGAGCACGGGCCGTTCTGGGGGAATCGGGCCTAGGAGCTACTGGAGGTTATCAATATTCTGATATTCGGATTGTCGCGGTTAGCCTATGCAGAATACGAGCACATAATTCGGAGAGAAATTGAGATGGGAGAGAGCTATCTAGCAGGGGTAGCTCAACTGTTTGAGGAGCCTACTGAACCGGAAGGACTACGGGGACGAGAGCAGGACTAGCGTTGGGGGCCAAGCCAGTATGGCGAATAAAGTATACTCTATTACACATAGGGGCTCGCCGATGGAAATGGGAAAGGGCCGTCAGAGCCAGACAGTCAAACACGCCGTTGCAAAACGGGGAAGGGACGGTAAAAGCACGGTCTGGGAAGTAGGAGGGGGCATGCTCGGCCAAGGTAGGTCGACCATAGCAGATACGAACCTTACCTAACCACGCGTGGCGAAGTATGAGCATTTCTGAATACCGAATGAAGGCTCGACCGCTAAGAAAGACCCCCACTACTGGCGCGCCTGCGCAGATCAGGAAGTAATAGTAGCCGAACTCGTATTTTGTATAAATCCATGATGAGATAGATCCACGATAATCGCCATAACCAGAAAGGTTGAGAACCCCCCCAAAAAACGATAAAAGAAATGCTGACCGAGGACCCTCCCTGAGAGAGTGCCCAACCAGAACTCCTGTGCGCCTGGCGACGCAAACTGGAACACTCTAAACGAGCTTATCGAAAGAGGAACGGACTTCTGTTCCTTAGCTCGATAAAGAAGCGGGCCGGTTGCGGGCTCTTTTCGGGAAAACAATCAGAGGACAGAAATGGGGGGGGGAAGACTTTTTTTTTTTGAATAAAGTAAACCGGAAGGACTAAGGCCTACGGAACCTAAAAGTCCCGAGTTGCCGGTGTCCCGGGAAATCCTCTGGTTTATGCAAATCTAGGCATAGGAGGCAGCGCCGTACAAAGCGAAGAGGGCCAAAAGGACAGGGAATCGATAAATCCGGACGAAACCAAGGGGAACAAGAAAGAGATCTCCTCAGGAGAAAGCTCGGGAAAAGTCGGGGGAAGCAAACAAGGGACCCAGGAAACCAGGAAAGGTAGAAATAAAGAGAGGTCGAACCCACGAAATTCAGACGGAGCTGTGTCAAAGAAGGTGAGAATCACGAACGCCAGGCGCAAACTAGCAAAGATAGAAAAGAGAACCGCAGAGTACAAGGCAAGATTGATTGAAGAGATGATGATCGGAAACGAGGAAGACCCTCCGAGGGAAGGACCGCATGGCGAACGGAAGGTCAGCCGAGGTGGAATCGGGCAGGGAGGTAAGGATAGTGATCGCGGAGGAACACCTAGCAAAAGAAGGAAAAAGAGCGAGAACTCCCCTGGAATAGAAGCGGAAAAAGCTACAAATCCGCCAGCATTAGAACAATGGCCCACTTGCTCCTAGAAGGAAGGGTGATCAGTCCTTCCTCGGCAGGTAACACCTCATCCTTCTACTTAGTCCGACCTTTTGCCGTTACAAGACGGGCGTCATTGTTGAGGTATCACCTCACATCCGACAGGTAGGTCCAGTCCAAAACCTCCCAGGACCCCGTCTTGCCGTAAAGACTTTCTCGCGAATCGTTCCTCCCGAGTGGTGTTTTCTTGGATCCGGCCTCTTCCTTTCAAGAGAGTTGGGGCTCTCAATTAATTTGCGAGTGCAGTTCCGAAGACAACACGGTTAGTCCCGGAACGGTTGTAATGATCCGGCAGGGCGGTGTCACTCGCCCCGTGGTGGTTGCGGCTTCCACCCGGTACCACGCCCGACCCCTCCCTCTCAACAGTGCCGCTCAACTTAATGCGAGCAGCCTTGGTCCATTCCAAACGGCCACGCTGCCCCTCTACGGCATGGCGTGTGGTTGGGGAGAAAAAATGAGACTTACGAAAAAAAATGGCTCTCTCGCCTATTTGGCTCCACGCCCTTGACGTTTAGGTTCTCAACATGAGGCGCAGTTCGAACTCCCCGACTAGAGCTCGTTGTCGGAGTTAGTTCCGAACAGCCAGCATCAATAAAAGAGAACGATGCCATGGTCCTTCAACCCTTATTTTCCCTTATGAGGAATAGGTCGCGCTGAGACTTTTTCCTTGACGGGTAGAGGTCGGTCGCGATGCACGCATTGCTATCCCCCTTATGTTGAGACCTGAGACTAGAAAAAAAGAAAAACTCAATCTCTTGCTATTTCCATGGTCGGCCCGACGACCTTTCATCAAATTGCCTAGGGTCCCCTGACTATGCAGTGCAATATCCAATTCTCAAACACTCAATCCAATGCTATTTCCAAGGCTGATTCTCATGGCTGGTCCGACAGCCTCTTATCAACAAGGCCACCCCTTGTGGCCGCTCTGGCGGTCGCTTTCTCAATAGCCACCTTTCAAGGGTCGACCTGTCGGCCAACCTTCAATCCTCAACTTTCACATTCCCCAATGTCCATTCCTTATGACCGTCCCAACGGTCTATGCCCTTCTTGACTTAAGGCTCGACCGTCTTTACCCTGCCCTTCTCTTTTCCAAGGCAACATTCTCTTTCATCCATCCTCATGGCTATTTCAATGACCGATCCACCGACCTTTTCCATCTCTATTGCTCATTCCAGCTCATTCTCAAGCAACCTTTCTCAATCAATTATGCAGGGGACCCCAGTGCCTATGTCAAAAGAAATGACCTTTGTCAGGGGTCATTTCCGAATAACCTGGTTAGGGTCATTCTTTTCCATTCTCAAATCGAACAGTCTGGCTATTCCTTTCCATTCTCAAGTCGAACAGCCTGGTTAGGGCCATTCCCTTCCATTCTCAAGTCGAACAGCCTGGTTAGGGCCATTCCCTTCCATTCTCAAGTCGAACAGCCTAGTTAGGGCCATTCTTTTCCATTCTCAATGTTAGCGCTCGAGGGGGTGGGCCTCGAGGACATGGATCCCATTTTCGTCTCGGAGGTTAGAAGGTGGCCATCTCTTTTCAGTTTTCCGTGTGCGTTTCCCCTCATCCATTCTCAAAGCAATTTACTATCCATGCATACATCCGACTTAGCGTCTAGTACTCGAGTTGGGGTTCGCGACCCTAAGCAGCACTAGCCCACCCGGTCGTTCGACCATAGCAAAAGACAGGGGCGCCCCCTCTTATTTTCACTCTTTCTGATCACTTAGATCTTGGCTATTTTCAGACTCATACATGAATCAGTTGGATTAGGCTCCTAGGGAAGGAGTGTTCTTAACGCCCCTTAACCCATAGGTTCCCTAACCTCTCTTGTACTTGACCAACATTCACGTCTTGCTTTGCTCGTCACTCTGTACTCACAGTTTTTCTTCTCAAAGACACTATCCTCATTCCATCCAAACGTTCACAATACACCCTTCCCAACCAGTCTCATCCCATGCCCCGTGCCATTGTCTTGTCTTCATACTTTCGAAGGTAGCTCATCCAGAAAGTAGCCTCAAAATGCTATCTTTTATCCCATCGTGACTCAGTCTTAGCCAGTCCTTTTTATCCCACATTCCTCACAAGCCTACTCATACTATACAAACCCTGTCATCCCATAATTGCCACTAGCGGTTAATGGAAGGCTAAAAATTCGGGGTTTTTCGCCGCGTCGCTACAAGCAATGTTTTCGAAACTTTTGCGAACAAACTATGTAGGGTCATAATACAAACATAAAAAAAAAAAATTAGGCAAAAAAAAAACGAAAAAATCAAAATCAAGAGTACTATAAAACCCTTTTCAGAGTAGCTTTCAGAGTTCGTCAAAGTTTTTTTTTAGTCTGGTGTTTTTGCTAAGTTTTTTGTTATTGCTCCAAATACGATGAAACTGAATGCAGATACACCCTAAAGCACATATATAACAGGCAAAAAGAAAAAAGTAAAAATTCAGGGAAATATGGCAGTTTCGGTGAAAAATTTGCCAAAATTCGCCGAATTTTAGGCCTTCCATTAACCGTTTTTCATAATTGCAAGAAAAGGAAATCGCAATTTCTTGTCCAACACTCAATAACATCTAATCCCTATTGTTGTCATGTGCCTCAACTCGCTCGTTCTCTTGCTCGTCCTTTCTTTGTGTCGGCTCTTTAACCCCCAGGCCGGAGGCCATGATTTCTCTCCTCCTCCTTGCAATCTCTCATAACTCCATCTCACTGTAGAAATCCAAAGGTGTGGCCACCATCCCTGCCTTCGCGAGTTCCCGGGCCTTGATAATCCACTTATGTTTGATCCCACTGAGCCATTGCTGAAACCAATGCTTGGGCGTTGGCCCAAACTCATCCTCCCATCTGAAGGCTCCTTCGCGTGGCTGGTGTATCGGGGGCCGCCTCTCTTCTCTAGGCCTCGAGATTTCATCCTTCTCATCCCCACTGCTGATTTCTATGACCTCCTGCACTTCCTCCTCTTCTTTCGTCTGTATGGGGCTATACCCATCCGTCAAGTTCTTTGGATCGTAGCTATAAGGAATCCCTGCCCTCCCTCCATATCCCTCTTCAAAGCTCGGGTATCTCCCCTCACAACTGTCGTGGCCGCTCCATTCCTCATGCGGACCTTCCCCTCTTTCTTCCCTGTCCTCACGTCTGTCACACACGTCCTGTCTCCCCTCGCTTTCCCCATGGCAAGACTCACACTGCTCGCATCTCTCGGCCCCTTCCCCGTCAGAGGCCTGAGCCTTGTTTCCCACATCTGCTTTGCCCCCTTCTCCCACACTTGCCCTTTCCTCCTCACTCTCACTCCCAGACGAGATATATATACCTTCTCCCTTCCGAAGGGGCGAGGGTCCTCTACACATGTGCTTTCTCGCACCCCTGCCTACCACTTGCCCGGATATGAGCCCTATGTACAACTTTCTCTTTGTCGTCCTCCTCCTTCGACTCGGTCCCGCTTCTTCCCCTCCGGTAGGCCTGTTGATCGCCCCACTGTCATTTTCGTTGCCGAATTCCATTTTTGCTTTTCTAAGGTCTTTCTTTCGTCCCTGTAAAACAGAACAACACATGCCAAACCCTTCATACACACATTCCCCCAGTCCGGTAGGCAATTCCCCTTTCCCCCAGAATGCTCCCAGTACCCGTCGCATCATGCCCCTATTACACATTCCCTTCTCATGCAAATGCCCTATTTGTGATGATCACATTATTTCCCCATGAAAAACTATGATACAATGCTCCCGACAATCTTTCCCGCCGTCACACAAGGCTCGTCATCGCAAAGTCCCAAGACATCTTGCCTTCCAACTTTAGTGAGTCCAAACCATTGCCCGAACCCCCAAAATGACAGTCCCACAGACTCAGTCAGAGACAAAACCATAGTGCAGGCAAGGCCACCGTCAGTTCTTAAGCTTGTAGCCCCTCAGTTTCCTTATCCTCGGCCTCCTGGAGCCATTGTTCCACTGGGTCCCGACTTAGAAACCTGACCAATTGTTGTCCCGGGAAGGGTCCTTTCAATCCAGTCTCATCCAAATCTTCCAGTTCGAAGGTGTTCAGTCCCACCCGCTTGGCGACCCGGTAGGGGCCTTTGAACCTCCGTCCCATTTGCCCAGACCAAGTACTTTTCAATGTCGAGTTCCTTAGCAATACCGTCTCCCCCACCTGAAGTGGCTCCTTTCTGACATTCTTAACTTGGTCCCACCTTGCTTTGTCCCTCATTCTGCTGTCTAGTACCCGGTTGGCGATTTCTTCCATGACTTCCTTATTCCTAAGAACTTGTTGGCATTTTGCCTCAATCAACTGTTCCGTGGTCATATGCGGATCGTCATCTACCCTGTTTCAGGTTGGTATCAAGGCTTCCACGGGGAAATCGATCTCCCTTCCGTACCAAAGTTCCGCTGGGATACACCGCGAGCTTTGCAATTGTGTTCTTTAAGGTCCGGTGCCCTCTTTCCACAGGTGCATTGGCCTCCGGGTGATATGGCTCGATGAGTTTCATCGGTACGCAGAGCCTCTTAAGCATTCCCAACACTTCTTGGTTCACAAATTTTGTCCCATTGTCCGCTATAAACCTCCTGATGAAAGGATGCCTCAAGTAGAAGTCCTCTATCCAATCTGCTACACTTCTCCCCGTCTTTTTCTTGAGAGCGACCGCCTCCACGAACCCACTCATATACCTGTACCCATCTGTTGATACAGGCATATGACCGCAAGGTCAAGGTGAACCAGATATCCCGACCCTAGCACCCGCGTTGGTCTGAGTGGCTCGAAGACGAGCGTCGAGCTCCGTTCCTGGCAGCTTAGGCAGGTCTGGCAATACGTGGCGACCATACCAGCCATGCCTGGCCAAAAATAGAGCGGCATTATCTTTGCAAGAGTTCCTTTGGACGATCGATGTCCTCTCTCTAGTCCGTCGTGCATTGCCTGGATCACGTCCAACTGTCTAGATCTCCCACACACAACTCTTCTAGGCATAGCACCTTCCTCCCTTCTGAACAGATGGCCGCCCCTTAGGACATACCTCTCGGCCTCCTCCCTTACTTTAATGTTGACTTCCATGGGTTGTTTGTTTCCTACCAGCAACAACCCAATCTCCCGAAATATCCCTTCATATATCTGGGCATAGAAGAACTCCTTCCCTTCCTGGTCCTCATCCTTTCTCTCCTGTATTTGGTTTACCATCCACCGCAACTCTTTCCTTTCCCAAGATTCCACTAAGCTCATCACGGCTTCCCGGCCTCCCTCAACCGCCATTGCTATTAATTCCTCCTTCGGTCCTACCATCGCTCCCCACGAATCTTTCTCCTCTTTGCGACCTCGAGTGGTGACTTGTCCTTCTATAAGTTCTGCTACTACGGATCAACAGTTCTTCCGACGCGCATTCTTCGCCCATCATTTCGTTATCCACCGCAAGAGTTCCTCCTTCGTATTCAAGGAATGCGTCTATGGGCTCTGCATCCTCCMCCCCTTCGGGAGTGATGCAGACCCGACTCACCCCATCGGCCTTGTTTCTGATTCCAGCAATCCGTTCGATTTTGTAATCGAACTGCCAGATAAATCCTACCCATCTCCCCACCGTCGGATCTATAGGCCTGTAATTCTTTAAGTCCCCTGCAACATTCGTCGGACCGATCCTAAGGATGAACCGCCTCCCAAATAGGTAGGCCTGGAAGGTCTTGAGGCAATGCAAGATGGCTAGGACCTCCTTCTTGAACTGTGAGTACCGTCGTTCTGTGGAGTTCAGGGTTCTACTTTCGAACCTAATTGGCCTCTCTTTTCCTTCCTCATCCCTTTGAATCAGCACGCCTCCTACGACCAAGGGTCCTCCATCCGTTTCTAGGATGAATGGTCGTCCCACTTCGTCATTAAAACAGGGTGCAGACAAGGCGACTTGCTGTCCTTGAGTGTTTGGACGGCTCCTTCTCGTTCCTCCGTCCAATCCATGGTCCCTTCTTCTCTGATCATGGTCCGAATAGGCTCAACGATTTTGGCAAAACTTTTAATGAAAATCCTCCAAAAGTCGACCACGCCTAAGAATGATCTTACCTCCATTGTCGTGCGCAGGGGTGTTGGCCACTGTGATATCTTATCCGTCTTCGTCAAATCTGGCTTCCCACCGTATGCACCACAGCGAAATCCTAGTATGGTTATTTTCAGTACTGCTAGAATACTCTTTGGTCCGCTAGCCGTGATGGTGTATACTAGGAACCGACGGAGTAAGTTTTCGATGCCTTGTAGATGGTCCCATACAAATCTTCGGATTCCCGGTTGGACTTCTGTCTCGTCCTTCTCTTGAGCGCCTTTGATCGGGTTGTCATCGATGTAGGGCTTACACTTCTTTGGAAACATGTCTCCGGCTACAGCGAGCATTCTCCATTGCGCCTCGGCTACTGCGTTTGTGAAGCCCATAGGGGTCACCTGCATCTGCAACTGGCCTACGGGGGTGTGCATTGCGGTGTATGGTATGTCCCGAACATCCAATGGAAGCTGGTCGTATCTAGAGTACAGATCTATCAGGGAGTAAATGCTCCGGCCGGCGTGCGACTCTGCTAATAAATCGGCCTGAGGTCGCGAGCCAGCATCCCGGATGGTTACTGCATTCAACTTCTGCAGATCCTGAATCCACCTCGGCGTCTTGTTGGGCTTCCGAAAGACGAACTACCGGTTTGCGTATGGCGACGTCGTAGGCTCTACAACGAAGGAGTCCATCTTTGCTCGAAGAAGGTCTGTCACTTCCCCCACTATCCCAAACTCATAGGACGGACCCTTGTCATTCCAGCACTCATGCTCTACCATGTCGATTCTGACCGGAGGAATCAGCTTCGCGTCTAGCTGCCCCTTTTGGTGATCACTAAAGACAAATACCAGGTGAAACTCCTGGTAGGTGTTTTTGATCAGGCGGGTTTCTTCTTCCGTTAAGAATCTGTCTACCCTAATCTTCATTGTATCGGCTACCTCATCTGGTATCCGATGCCCTTCCGTCACTCTCCTCTCTCGGATCAATCGAAGGACTTCCTCCTCCTTCTCCATAGCCTTTTCCTTTTATGTCTCTAGCAGGATCGAGACCGGTTTTGCTTTCTTCCCTACCGGCTTGTACTTTCGAACACTTCCTTCCGGGATCTTTCTCCTAAAAAATGAACGGTCAGGATTATCCTCGTCACCTCTACGATTCGTGGTTGAATACTGACTAATTTTCCATTCAGACAATATCCCTTTTGCACTTCTCCTTCGAATTTGGCCAATGCCGCCGAGTCCACTTCTACATTGTGGTATTTGATGGCCTTGATGAGCTGTAACAAATCGGGAATCACGAGTGCGACTTCTGGCACATCCATGCGCACTTCTTTCCGCTTGGGCAGGTTGGCTCCGAGTTCGACTTCTGATTCCCTTTCCGCCACCATAACACCTAAAACTTCGTTCTTATTGCCTTCTCTTCTTCTGGGGCAGGCCCATCTTGATCCATTCCTTCTTGTTGAACGCTTCCTCGATCATGATTTCTACCATTTCTCTCATGCCCTCCATCCGCGCAAAAGCCCCCTTCCGCGTGCTATCTTCGAATGATGGTGACCATGTTGCTAACTTCCCTTTCGGAGGGTCTCCTCCCGTCCCAAGGAGTCGGAGGAGCTCGCCCCGGCCGGTCACTAGGTCCTCTATGTCTACCATGTACGTGCCATCGTGCAAGTGCATGCCTATCATTTCTACGTTTGCACACCATGGTCTCCCGAGGATTATGTCGTGGTCCATTTCCTCCATTACAGTCATCCGCTGAAACGACCAGATCGACTCCCTGATTCCTGCCTTGACTGCGCATTTCGTGACATACCCAGCGAACGGAATTTCCCCACCGGCTCCCCGGATGCTCCCTGTTACTTCCTTATTTACCGTACAGCCCGTGATTGTTGTGAAATCCCTCCTTAAGAGAGTGATTTCCGCTACCCCGTCTACTAATGCATCGGTATGATGAGTCGCGATCTGGATTTTCAACTTTCCTACGGGTAGCGCATGGAACCTGAGCTTTGTCACGGGAGGTGCCCTCATGACCTCGCCACCTTCTCGGTCAGGCAAGCTCAGGCGGATTTCCGCAAAGGCTTTCTCGAGATCCTCCAAATCCCCGCGACTCCTCTGAAGGTTAGCGACTTCTTGCGAAGCTTCCTCCTCCCCTTCCCCTTCCGGTGATTCGGGGTTTTCGTCTATCTCTACTCGCTGTCGAGTCAACAGTTGTCTAAGCCCTTTGAGCAACCTAGGGCTGGCCTGCAGCATGGTCTGAAACGACACCGATACCATGGTTCCTAGTAATTTGCTAAGGGTGTCATAAATCTCAAGCATGGTTAAGATCGGGATTTGATACCTAAACTTCTTTTTAGCAGTGGTAACTTTGTCTGTAGGCTCCTCTTCCCTAGGCTTCCCATAGACTTTCTCTGGTTCCCCAGCCTCGGGCTCTGCCTGGGGTACGGAGCTTCCATCACGGTGTCATGGATAATCCTTCTCCCAGGCGTCCCTAGCCGAGTAGTCGCGTTCACCCTATCACGTTCGTCGTTTTCCAGAATAAAGTTGACCTGCGGCCCGCGGCCCCGAAGTTGATCCCAGATGATATCGACCACCGGCTCAGCCTCTACGGCCGCTATCTCTAGTCCATTGAGCATGATAATGGCTTGCCACATCCCCCCTGGCGAGTTCCAATTCACCCGTTCTCCCTGCGGTCCGAATATCTCTCCCTTTAATGACCTGGTACATCTCCTTTTTAATATATCATGGTTGAGTTTTGGATATGCGCGCACAAAATGCCCCACCACGGTGCAGTACTTGCATTGCTCATTAGCGGGATCTCTCTGTCCGAATCCTCGATTGGCTACTCTTGGCAGAACTACGGCTTCCTGGGGAGGGAGGGCGGGTCGGGATACTTGCGCTTGCATAACCAGTAGCGAGTTTTCCACCCTTTCAATCTTGTTGTCGACTCCGTGCACCCGTTCATGTAGACTTTCAATCCCTTTTTTTACCTTGTCGCATGTCCTACCAGCCAGATATATGACCTCCCTTTCCTTAAGCAAGGCCAATGTCTCGGTCACTACTGTCTTCTCGACCAGATTCGTTACTGTGGTAAAATCAACATCCCTGGTGTTTACAAACTTGCTCGTCTGTTGGTAAGCCGGCAGAATCTTGTCTTTGCCGAACTCGGAGAATTGCCTGAGGAAGCATTTGCTCATTATCCGGTCCGTGACCCTGGGGATCCTTAGTGCTACCAGAGTAAACTCCCGTAGGAAGTCATTGTACGTTGCGAAGTTCTTCCTCTGAGCTGCCGCTAAATCGGTCTCCGTAGCCATTTTCTCCGCTGCCAGGTATTTCCTCATCATCACATCCCGACTTTCCTTCCAGGATCAACTCGCGGCTACGATGGCCATTATGTCCCGCCCCAAACTCAAAGACACATGCTGCCCCAGGTGGTCCATCTTTTCTTCTTCGGTCCATTTCAACAACGCGGCCAGATTCTCGTAATCTATTAAGAATTACGTGATGTTCGCCCCGTCAAATGTCAACTTTTTCTTAGCGTCCGCTAGGTAGCCTTGATTTTTGTTCAGTGCTCGAGCGAGGGACGATACTATCTTCCTAAGGCCGCCTTCGGAGCTACTAGCCTCGCCCGCCATACTGGTATTCTGTCCTTCCTTGCCGACCTTCTGTCCCTCTCTAGTCTTTGCGGTTCCTTCCGGGTCGAACCATCCCAACACCTTTTCCCTAAGACTCCAGAGTCCTTCTCATCCTCGCGTTACCGCTGGCGTGGTCGGCAGACGGCTAGCCCTACTATCTATGGCTGGTGGGTTCGTAGCTTTCTCTACCTCCATCCCTGGGCAGTTCTCTCTCTCCTTCCTTCTTTTGCTCGGTGTTCCCCCACGATCACTACCCTTATCCCCTTGCCCAATTCCGCCTCGGCCGGTTTTCCGTTCGTCCCGCGGTTCTTCCTGCAGAGGGCCTTCTTTGTTCCCAGTCATCATTTCCTCAATCAATCTTGCCTTGTACTCCGCGGTCCTTTTTTTTATCTCCGCTAGTTTGCGCCTCGCATCCGTAACCCTCACTTTCTTTGACACAGCTCCCTCTGAATTCCGGGGGCTTGTCCTATCCTTATTTCTGCCCTCCTTGGTCTCCTGAGTCCCTTGGCTGCTTTCCCCGGCTTTCCCAGAGCTTTCCCCTGAGGAGATTTTCTTCCGGTTCCCTTCGGTACCATCTGGATTTATTGATTCTCTGTCTTTCTGACCCTCTTCGCTCTGCACGGCACTACCTCCTAAGCTTGGTCCTCCTTCGCTCCTACGATTATCTGTCTCATCCTCCGTTGCCATTTTGTCTAGTTCTGCATAAACCAAAGGATTCCCCAGGACACACGCAGCGCGAGGCATTTAGGTTTCATAGGTTCCGGCTTCGTTGGCTTATCTTTATTCGGATAGTAGCCTTCTCCCATTTCCGTTTCCCGATTGCTTCTCTAAGAAGGAGCCGCGACTGGCCCTGCCGCCCTACCGAGCTAAGAGACGTGACTTAGTTCCCTTTATCACAGGCTCGTTTAGAGTGCCCCTGTTCCGTCGCGCCGACGCGTAGGAGTCCTGGTTAGGCATCCTGCTAGGGAAAGTTTCCCGAGCAGTATTCCCCTTTTCGCCCGCCAGGGTCATGGCAACCATTAGGAGTCTACCCTCCCCCCTTTATTCTCTAGCGATTTTTTATCGTCCGGGTTCGAGGTCCTTCCTTATTTCCATCGGTGAGCCCCTGTACGTAGCGGACTATACTTGATTTGCCCTATTGGCCCGCCCCCGGACGCTAGTTCCGTTCTCGCTCTCGTGGCCCTTCCAGTTCGGTTGGCTCCTCGAATAGTTGAGCCACTCTCTCCTATCTCGATTTCCCTCTGGATTATATGTTCGTATTCCGCCCAGGGTAGCCGTGGCAACCCAAATATCAGGATATGGATAACTTCCAGTAATTCATGGGCCCTGTTTCCCCAGAACGGCCCATGTTCCACAACAACGTCATAGAACATCCCGATGGTCTGATAGGGGAAGTGGTCTACCCAGATTATTGCCGAGTCTACCAGCTCCTGCGCCCTTGCGAGGCTCCCAAAGATGAGGTCTATCATAAATCGGGGGACCTGGCACCTCAGCGGTGTGGTCGGTGCCCTGAATTCCCTCCAACCTCCCATTTCCACCTTGGTAAGTCCACGTTTCTTCTACCCCTGATTGATTGTCCTATCCACGTCAACACCCGGGCCGCCCTCTGAAAGACTGGAGCCAGTTCGTGGCCTTGCGTTATTCCTATCCCCAGCAAGTGCCAGCCAGTCTCGGGTATGTACAGGACCCCAGTTACCTCTAAATTGGAAAACAGGTCATCCCAGTTCCCCGGTTGAGTTTCATCCCCCTCCATCGACATTCCACCAACATGAAGGCGATGTCTCTCCCTAGAGTCACGGCCCGCAATTCCACATCGAATCCCCGAAAGTTGGAATTTGGCGGAAGGGACACTTCCCATCTCCTGCCGTTATTCCAGGGCGGTCCGGGGTACCGGGGTTGGCGTTCCGTCCGCACACGTCTTGCCGCCATTGCTATTTTGGTAATTTCCTGCATAGTTCACATAAAAAAAAATTACGGTCCGTCCTTCAGCAACTGCCCATCTTCCTACTGTTTCCTTTCCCGCTTATGCCCCCCTTTCCTCTTTTCTGTCAGGCGTCCCACATCTATGCCCACAATGGCCGGACACCTTCCCCTGTTTCAATCCCCTCGCATGACCTGCTAAGCTATCGTACATGCCCCCCCTTTTCTTATGTTACACCCTAGTTTACATGCGTCCTCCATACTCCGACCTTCCTGCGGCGTTCGATTTCCTGGTCCCTTTAATCGAACCACAGTACCTCAAACAGTTTAAAAACATCATCCACGTAGGATGGAGCCGCCGCCGCCTCCCGGCTAACTATGGCGTCCCAAGCCTTCGCGTCTACCTCTAGGCGGTCATACTTGCCTATCCTCCGAACGGTGAGGACTTCCCCGACTTTATCTCCGTAGAAGGGCCCATATTTTAACGAGATCCTATAGAATTCCTCAGTCAGCCAGGCACACTCTGTGTGTACTTCTTTCATGGAGTCGGCCACGTCTATGATGTGCTTGAAACCCCTAAACCAATTGGCCACGAACTCGGGCACCCACGCCGTTGTTCGTAGGCTGGGAGGCTTGAGTTCCTTCCATCCCCCCATCACAACTCTGCTACTAACTTCATCCCATCCCTCGTTGGCGAACCTATTGCCTTCTTTTCGGGTTCGCGCCTCTGCATCCCATAGAAGCCACATTGGATCCTGTCCCATTGCTAACATAGTGCAAAATAGGCGCCACCCGTCTTCGGAAAGAACGACCGTCCCGACCGATTCCACACTGCCTTCTGCTATCTCATCCCAGCCTTCCTCTTCCCTTATCAGGTTCCAGATCCGCTCTATCCATACATATGATAACCCCGAGGCAACCTCAAACCCAACCTAGTCGCACGTGGTTCCCCTCCACTCGTTTTCTGTCGGTTTAGGCATTTCTATCCCTCCCTTGAGTCGCCTTGGTTCCCATCCCTTGAAGGTGTATTCCATCATCATTTCCTCTCTAGTCATCTTTTCCCTTCCTGCACAATACCAGGCCACCCGTTCCCCCTACGTAAGTCACCCTCCTTAGAAGTCTCAGTCCTCTATCTCATCATCTTCGTCCTCATCACTGAAGTCGTCCTCTTCGTTGTAGAACAACTCCCTCACCCCTTCCAGGAATGTCTCCCCTATTGCCAAATTTCAGTAGACTATCCCCCAATGCACGGAGCTAGGGACAAAGACATTGACTACGCTAAGGCAGTTTAGCATCTCAGCCAGCTCCTCTGCCCAATTCCCTTCAAACAGCCCCATTTCCACCGACAATCGAAAGAAGTCTTGCCTAGCGCACTGGTACAGTCCGAGGGTCGTCATGAACTGACATGTCCGTACTAGCCTGCTCCAGGTTCCGAAGACCGCATCCACCAAAAAGGGAGGCAGCACACATCGCATGGTTCTGACGGGTCGCCTCACGCTTCCCCTATCCCCAAGTTCCACCCGCATATCTACCCTTTCCATTTCCATTTCCCTTCGCTGACACGCAGCCCATACAACCTCCGCTTCTGCCTTCCTAAACAATTCGTCCGGCGTATTCCCAAGCGCCAAATCGATGACCATAGCATTTTCCCTGTCTTGTGACAAGTAGACCCACCCTCGGGCTTCCACTGTCCCTCGGAACTCCAAATCCATTAAACTCGGCGACAACCTAATCAAGCTGACATTAGCCAATATTGTCTCTATCCAAAGAAACGCGTCCTCCCCTTCCAGCATTACGGTTTGATACGCTAGCTCAAGATCCGTCCACGTCCCATCGTCTGGGAGGACGACCGAAACCCCATCCCTTACATCTACTAGCATTTTCGGGCCGCTGGTATAGATCGGGGAAGACAACCATCGCAC